CCCTGTAATGTTGCGTGTTATGAAGCCATTACTGGGCCAAAAGTTTTTCTTTCTTTAAGAGCCCTCTAATTTCAGTTGCCGCTGACGATGATGGAGATAGCAGGGGGTAGGGTTGGTTAGGGGAAGAAGTACTACCAACAGGAACCAGGAACTACTGGGAGCATCCCGAAGTTTCCAGCTGCTGCATCTTTTTTTGGCACTTAGAGGAGAACACACACACACATAATGTGCAATGTGCAATGTGCAATGCGGCGGAGGAAGACGTGGAAATGGCTCTAAAGATGCTGCCTAAGATATGAGTTCAGGATGGGCCAACTGGGCTTGGCCAACTTTAGGGTCAAAAGCAAGGCTAAGAAAATATTTAAGAAAATAGTATAATTTTTGGGATGTAGGTTATTTTTAACATTATTCTTATTATTTAACACAAAAAGTGTTCTATGAATCTAATAACTAAACATAGCCAATTGTTTTTGGTATATATTTTCATCAAAACCATACCTTAGCTTCTTCTACATAAGTCAAAATTGAATTTCTTAGCACTTGAGGCTTCTGGCCAAAATTGAAGGCCAGGACCCCTTGAGTGCCAAGTCCTTCCCCTAATAATCATCAAACACAAAACACAAACACGAAGACGGAACACACTCAATTTAACCATTCGCTTTCCGCACGAATCATTCCCAGTTGGGTTTATAAAACCTCCCTCCCTTGCTCAGCAAATTGAATTTGTCGAATTGCAGCTTTGACTAGTTTTTTCGTTGTTTTTTTTTTCTCTCTTTTTATATTTTTTATGTTAAGGGGGAAAGTGATGGTCATTTGAACAGATTAAGCCAAATTGAAACCGAGAAAAATCTACTGAAAATGTTCCAACAGGCAACGAAACTGGCATAATTTTGTCATTTTTACAGCAATTGATCTTGGATTGAATGACAGCGAAGCGATGGCAAATTTGTTTTGTTCGGCTTCTTCTTCCACTGACATAAAATGGGAAATGGAAAATGAAAAATGCAAATTGAAATTGCAGAAACGGTTTTTATTTTTCCTTTTTGTCGCCAAAGTGTTTGCTTAAAGCGAGCACTTCATTAATAAAACTTTAATGCTCCAGCCGTTGCTGCCTCGGAGCGGGCTTATGGAAACGATTTCATTTGCCATCGCCGTCGACACTCGCAGCATTACACACAACCCAACCACTTTAAATAATAAATATAAAACTTTATTTTCATGTTGATTTTCCGCCAGCAGAGTCTGGCCTGCAACTTTTCACAGCGGCTAAAACCAAATCCCATTCGCAGAACCCCTTTTTAACCCCAACTCAGCCGTCGTCGTCGTTCGTTCGTGCAATAAATTCCGAATGAAAAGCCACACAATGAAATCATTGAAATTTACGTTGTCTGTGCATAATTGTTGGCCATTTAGCAGCCAGGATTGGAGCCAAGGATAAGACAGGATAAGAAGACCGCTTTGTTTAGTATTTAATGAGCGATGGCCGCAGGACTTTTGACTAAGCAGCAAAGCAGGATTAACCAAGAAGGTGAATAGATAATAATTACAATTGAGATACCATTTTAATTATTAACTAAACAGTTCGACTTTAGGGAATTTCAGTTGAAGAAGGTAATAGTTAGCACAAATCAAATTAAGATACCAATACATCTAGAAAAGATACTAATATATCTGAATTATCCTAAAAAAAAATGCTTAAATGGAGTGCAAATATGTCAAGTCACTTAATCAGTTTTCTATTAGAACAGCTTTTGTGCTATAATTATTTATCGGTGTCAAAGTCTTTAGCCAATTTCTCCCTCTACTTGCAGTTGACAATTGCTAGTCCTAGTCACTTATTTTAATGCTCGAGCAGTTAAGTGTATTATTAGCCGTATTGAGTATGCAGACTCCGATGTGGGCCAAAACAATTACCGCATAATAAATCAATTTGAGTCCCTCGATTTAACCGGTCACGCCCACTCTCAGCCCTATTTTAGACTCCTTCAATCAGGCAAAGAGTTTGGATGTGAGTGCGCGGCTCCGTTGGCTGACAATTTTGCAGCTCAAATATGCAAATTACCGACAGTTGGTAGCCTCAATTTGATTCGCAAGCGCTGAAATTGGAACAGCGCAAAAAAGGGGAAAAAGCCAAGGAAAATATATACATATATAGTATATATAGAGGAAGCGGAGCACAACAAGCAAGTCAAATTGAAATGGGCACAAAATATGAAAGCGCACTTGCATTTTAAATATTTAATTGCGAGCTATTTTCCGGTTGAATCAATTTGCATAGTGAAGCCAAAGAAAAATTCATTGCAAATACAAAATGAATTCGATTGAATTTTTAAACCGGATTTATGAGGCCATGTTGAGGGGAGTTACAATTTATAGATCCATTTTATATACATTTTCATATGAGAAAGCTCTATTAATCTATCTATCTATCATTAATTGAATTTATAAAGAAAACTCTGTTCTTATGATATAGATACACAAATCTATGCATACCACACTCAACTGCCGCTTGACAATCGCATTATGTACATAGCAATTAAGTTCGCGATATGTCTCCGGCTGTCAGTTTGGAAAAGCGTTTTTCGAAAATGCAATTCCGTGCAATTCCCAAATAACACGAACGGCAAACAAACAATTCAATTCATTTATTTGACTAGCAAAAATTGCTGTCGTTGTCAATATCCCGGCTATTATTGTTGCTCCCATATAGCATAGCGCACATGGTTTTTCATGCCTCCTCCATGTTTTGTGTTTTTATGGAGTAATCCGAAACTAACACACGCCAATTGGTTTTGTCGCTTGACAGTTGATGGATGTGACTGCTCGCCAAATGATGGAAAACTGTTTTCCCCCCCTCTCTCTCTATGGAATATATATATAAACCAATATATATATGTATGCAAATTTATTTATGGCAAATGGCTGGGAACAAATCGAGTTCGGTTTGAGGTGGCTATAAAACTGCTGCAGCAAAAGTGTGTGAATTAAAATCATAAAAGCCTAGCCACTGTAATTAATTAGTTTTGTTTTTCCGCATGGTGGCCTATACATGTTTATTAATTGCTCACTGTCTGCCTTTCTTTTTTTTTTTTTTTGGTCTTTTCAATTTGCACTTGAATCGTAAACAAATGCAGGCTATTATTTTAATTGAACATTTTCTTTGGTGATTTATGGTCTTTTGGTTTATTTGGAATTAGGGGTTTCTTGAGGATGTTAAGTAAACCCCTGAACTTGATTATTTTAAGCAATTTTGTATAGATTTTGTGCATTAATTATTCTTATTTAAATTTCTTATGAAACTCTAGTATTTCCTTAAACCTTCTTGATACTTTAATAAAACTTAAATGGGAGCATCCGCGAAACTGTCCATTACACCTTGGCATCTTGGTTCTCTTCCTCACTGCCTGATATTTACTCACTCTCGTCACGTTGCAATGTCAAAGGCACACAAGAAAAAAATAAAAAAAGGACGAAAGGGATCTGCAGGATGCGACACTTGCAGTGCAATGTTGCCGTCAACTGCGCTTCATTTGATTTGAGCGCGCATACGACACGTTGTCCGCTTAACCCGCGTTGCCCTGTCGTGCGTGTTTTTAACGCAATTGCCATAAAAGTGTAGGGAGTTTAAGTGTGTGCTATATGTGATTTTCCCTCTCAACTGCTAGTGCGTGCCACAGTTGCCACATGTTGAGCAGGTAAAGTGGCTATAATACGCAGAACTATTTCAGAAAGGTGTGAAATTCTATCGAAAAAAATTAATATAATATCGTAAGCAGAAAGATTTATCTGGGATCTATGGTATTTAGTTTCAAAGTTGTGACTTTTGCCCGAATTTAGTGAATTGAAAGAGATTATGCCCTGGGCTAAAAGTGGTCAATGTGTGTTACAATTATTTCCATTGACCAATAATATCTATGGGTAAAATTCAAAGCACGCTCTTTAAAGAGAGTGAAAGAGAGCCTGGACTGCAGTGGAAATAAGAATGGAATTTATGCCCAGCGTGCCGCACATTAGCGCATTGTCACCGCACTCGGCACACTTCCAATAAATAATGTCACATACACACACATACACACGGACTCATGCAGGACTCTCGCAGGACCTTTTCCAGGGGAATTCAGAGTCGGAGACGGAGTCTACTAATGCGCTTAGCGCCTTGTTGCGACATTTTTTGGGGCCAAAGTAGAAGGCCCCAGGAGCCAGCACTGTTCCGTGGCGACGAAATCCGCCATAAATAAAGGATAACAATTTGTTAGCCACGCAACAAGTGCAAACTAAATCAACAAAGCGAGTAGATTTCCGCAGGCGCTTTGGCTCTGTGACTCACATGTGTAAGCTCTTAGGTGGAAAACCCCCGTGCCTCATAGGAAAAGCCCCAACTCCCACTGATAAACGGCTCAATCCGTGTTTGTGTGTTTGTCTGAGTTATGAAAGCCATATTTTTCACACACACAACACAGCCTCTTTTTACGTATTTTAAAGACTTAAAGGATAGAAAATCTGTCCCTTGAAGCCTTACCTTTTCCTCCCTTGTTTATTTAATTTGTAAAGAGAAAGAAGGGAATTTCCGCGAACAAAAAGGGTAACAATTTGGGACTACTTTTGCTCAATGACAAGCAGCAAACGGTGGTCCTTTTGCTCTTAAGTACATTTCACTTTATACCAATTGCTTGCCAACCGCAAAAACAAGAAAAAAAAGGCAACAGCGGTGCCAGGAATTAAGCCCTCCACGCAAAAAAGTGTCCTTTTTCTTCCTCGTAATAAAAGTAATGCAATTTTACGCACGCGTTAGCCGAATTTTCTTTTGTGTTCTTTGGGGTATACTTGGTTAAAGGAAAGCCTAAGATTGGGAATACTAAGATATATTATATGAAAGTAAAACTTATATTATTATATCTTAAAAATCTTTTGATGATAAGTTTATTTATAAAAATTCAAGTCAAAAGAAACAATTTTAATATGTATGATAAATAAGCAATTAATTTAGTTTCTTTTTAATTTTTATATCCTTTTCCATTTTTAAATTTAGCACAGCAAAATTCAATATAACATTCCCTGCAATATAGAACATTTACCATTCGTTGTAAGCAAAAAAATGTACCTAAAACAAAGCAGAAATCAAACATTGCGTGGGCCACATTATTTTTAACAGCTTTTGCTTCTTGTACCTTTATCCCAGTCATCCTTTCGACATTAATGAGCGGCCAGCCAGGATCTATCCCTTCTAATGGCCCCCAGACAGACAAAAGGCGGGCTAGGATAGCAGATGGCAAGGACACTGGGCACGGAAAGGGGCGGAAAAAAGTGGGCTGCAGTCCGGGGGTCAAAGTTCACTGAAAGTGTACTAAGTAATGATGTTGCTGATGAAGACGTCCTTTGTGGGGTGTCAGCGGACATCGCACAATCGAGTGGAGCTGCCAGTGACATGCACAATGCACATCGCACAATGACTGCAACAATACGCTTCATTAAGTAATTAACACGCGCATTATAATTTAATTAACATTGTGCCACAAATAAAGAGAGACAGACCGAAGGAAAAGCGAAGTAAATTGTTAACATATCTCTTCCCTATACATTTTAACAAGAATACAATGTTTTAAGCTTATTGTTATATACAATTTCACGTCTATTTAATGCTGAGAGTCATTATGTTCCGCTATAACATAGTTTATAAAATCAATGAGTGTTGAATAATTATTTTAGTTCAACTTAAAATCCCGTCGAAAACACATTCTCTACTTTGACTAACAAATCCAAAATGCATTGGAGAGCCGTCGTAAGTCTCCTGTTCCTTGGTGGAGTGTTCAGCGCATTGATAACGACTGACAAGGATCACGAACTCCTGGCAAGGACCTGTATGTGGGGGCCTTGTAAGCGATAGAAAGATAGAAATTATTTATCGAAGAAATATAAGGAAAATAAAGTTACATTTTGTTTAAATCTCTCTGCTGACCAGTAAAGCCAATCGAGGCAAAAGTCAGACTCTGCCTGGTAAATCGTTGCCAATCCCTATATATTTTAACAAGAAAATAATCTTTAAAATATATTGTTAAGGTTATTTATTATGCAACTTGTTCTGTGGTTTTTGTTGAGTAATCTATGCATATCGAATTAAATTATAGGATTTTATGTCGATTTAAACCGGAAAAGTCGAAATCAATTCGTTTCGCTTTAGCTTATAAAAGCAATGAGTTCTAAATAATTAATTTATTTCAACTTGAAGTCCCGCGAAGAGCACAAACTCTTATCTGAAGAATAAATCTAAAATGCATTGGAGAATCGCCCTAATTTTCCCGACACTCCTTATCCTTTGTGGACTTTCAAGCGCATTGATAAAGGATCAATCCTTAAAAACTGATGTGGACACAGGAATAGGGGCAAGAACTTTCTGGGAAGACTCGAGTTCCGAGGAAGCAGGAAGGCGTCCGTGTCGTAGAGGACGCTGCAACCGCTGTACATCATGCCACCACCGACATGTTGGACCTATACATACTGTACATCCTTCGCATACAATAGTAAATCCAGCGCCATATATTGTAGTATTACCACCAGGAAGCTCAGGTTCAAATGTTGGAATTGTCAATCACGCGATCGCAGGGTCATCAAGTTCAGTGGTACATCATTTAGCTCCATCGAATCCAGTAACAAGTAATGTAGTAGTACTTCCTGCAAACCAAGGGAGAAACGTCGGAGTTGTACAACCAGGGAACTCAGTGCAAAGTAATGTAGTAGTACTTTCTGCAAACCCAGGGTCACATCAAGATAGAAAAGAAACCCATTTGAATGTCGATTATGAAACTAAACCAAGCCATAATACTAATAGGAACAAACTAAAATTTTCCTCAAGGTCTTTTCTCCGCCATCTAGGACTTAATTATTAATTTCACTGAAAACAGTAATCCATATCTAAAACGTTGTTTGATTTTCCTTAGATGGAATCTTTAAAATGGATGGAATCCTTAATAGGATATTTGAAAGTATACTATGTTCCTGAACACAATATACAATAAATCTTGCATCTCAATATACTTTATAGTTCATCACTTAAACAAATTCGACCTGAGATCTGATTGTTTTATTTCATATCACTATGAAACATCGGAAACATTCAACTGGATTATGATTAAATAAACTCTGATAGACAGAGCGGGCGAATGCTGTGTTGTTTTTCCTCAGCGTCGGAATCAATTTCCAAAACCCATCGCTGAGCCAAGACACGATCAAAACCTAATCAACTGGCCCGACTCTGGAGAGTTTCACCCCGGAGGCAGTTTATTTTCCAACGACTGCTCGTCGCTGCGTCAGCTCCATCAGACTTTTCAGCCATTTCCGCAGCACTCGCAGCATGTCAATCACAAATCAGTTTGATGGGAAAAAACAAAAAGAAAATGCGAAGGCAACTCGTTACTCGTTTGCATACAAATTACAGATGCAAGTCACATTTGATTGAAAACAATTTGAAATGATATCGTCATTGGCGAGGAGCATCCAGCCGGCATTCCTGTCAGACTTTTCCTATCCATATATCCTTTGGGTTTTCAATGCCAAGCGCCTCACCTGAGTTTCCACCTGCGTTTCACACACACGGAGAGACACACACACAAAGGGCATGTGCAGGGTTTATTGCCTTTACGTGCAAAATGTTTGTGTTTGGCGCGCATAAAAGGTATAAACCAAATTGCTTCAGCTCAATCGGCAATTCGGGAAGCATTTCATTTCATTTGCCAGCTAAAAGCGCTTCTAGAACTGAGCTGAGAGCTGCAAGTTGCACAGGGAAAAATTAAGATTATTAAGATAATTTCAGGGCTTGAGAATGGTACTTAGACTGGTCGTAGGTCACTGGAAAGATAAGTACTATTAGGGGATTTAATGTGTTGTATATTTGTTTATTTTTTGTACAAGAGGAATAGATATATATTTCTTTTTGATAGTTCTAATGTTATATTTTAGTATATACTTAATTCAAAACTCTTTACAATAATCCCTTTCATGAATTTATAAATTGTTTTCTGTGCTTTAGCTTCAATCGAGTGCATTGCTATGCATTGGCATTCAGTCCTTGTTTCCCTGGCTGTCCGTTGATTGTGTTGCTTTCAGGTGGCTCGATGGGTGGTTTCAGGTATTGGTATTGGTTCAAGGGGCTAATCAAAGCGTTCGACTGTCCCTGAACACCTCGTCCTTGTCGATTCACTCTCCCTCCTCCCCCCCATCTGCGTTGCCACGTGTGTTATCCTTGTCCCAATGTGCAAATAATTACCAATATGAGCCGTCAAATGACCACACACTTGCCCAGGACACACACATACACAGAAGGAAGCTCCTCCTGTTAGCCAGATGCCGCCACCTGTGCTGTGTGGCATTCTGTCCTATGTCCTGCAGTTGTTGTTGCCGCTCCCTCCTCGTTATCCTGGTGGCGAGGGCGCTCTAATTGTTGTCGCCATCGTACCGGAGACCGGGCATTGTGAGCTTGTAAATAAGCCTTAATTATTGCTATTACAGCCATAAAGCCACCGCACAATAAACATGCAAATTCGGTTTGCACGGGGCGTGACCCAAAGGCGGTTGTCTGATAAGCCAATTGGCAAAGGTGGAGTCGAGAAATACGGGCCAAGGTAACAACAATAATAATAGCTATATAGTAAATGTTATATATATATGGCTATGAGGGAAAAATCCAATGGGAATTTGTATTGGCTTGTGGCATTCTTTGGTAAGTGTGTGTGTCGAGAAATTCGTTACGTGGTTTCTGGTGAGTTAAGAACACTTGAGAATTTCTAAATTTAATTTGTAATTTAATTATAAAAGTTATTTTAAATAATAAAAGGAATTTAACAATTTAACTTTGTATTGTTTTATCCGTGAAATAAAAGTTTATACAGAATAGTCAAAGCTTTACAATTTATTTGGAAGAAACACAATATTGTTTTGCATTTCTTCAACAATTTATTATTCTCTCATCTAATAAAAATAGAGAAATATTTGGAATAATTTATTTAATAACAATTTCTCTTAGTAAAATGAAAGGAAATAATTAAGCAACATTTTCTAGACTTCCCCAAACCCAACACAGTTCTCATTAATAAATACTTTCCCCATGGCTTGTGGTTTCAACTCCACTTACTGCCGCACTAATATTAAATTTAATTTCCGCTTAGCTCGTTGAACGGCGATAAACGCAAACATTTACATAACACGCTGCTTGCGTTACGTAAGGTGCAACTGGCACACTCGCATAACGGAATACCTAACACACACGGGGCGCAAGACAAAGCCAGCAGGGGTTGAGGGGGGAGGGCTAAACACCATCCGGAGCTTTGTCATAATTAGAACATGCAATCGCCGCCACTGCACATAAACGCTCATCAAATCCATTTAACCCTTAACGGCTGTCGGGGTCGTCAGGCATTTGCAGGCGCCTGATCCTGGTCCCTGTCCCAGGACCCATGCTGCTCCAATTGCCACTGTGCCCGTCGGGTTTTATTTGCCATTATCCTGCTGCACGCACACCACATTGTCCCTACTGCTGCTCCTACTGCTGCGTTTGAGGTGTAAGCACTGACAGAAATTATACAAAATACCTTTTTTTTATAAGGAAAACAATTTGTTTACTCAACAAAGTTTTATAGTTTGTATAATATTTTCCTACCTATAGTTTTTCCACTTTTTTTATTCCCTTGTAGGGTATTATAATTTCAGTCAGAAGTTTGCAACGCAGTGAAGGAGGCACCTCCGACTATATAAAGTATATATATTCTTGATCAGGATCAACAGCCGAGTCGATCTAGCCATGTCCGTCTGTCCGTCTGTCCGTGTCTACGCAAACTAGTCTCTCAGTTTTGAAGCTACCTGAATGAAACTTTGCAGTTAGTCTTCTATATACTCTCACTCGTATATATGTCGGAACGGGAACGACGACTATATCATATAGCTGCCATAGGAATGATCGGAAAATTTTTACAAGAAAAATTATAACATTTTTAGTTTTCAACAGAAGTTGATCAAATTTGAGGTATAGCCTTTTTGTATTACTTTTAAAATTTGTGTACAATTTTTAAAAATCTGACTGTTATATCATATAGCTCCCATAGGAACGATCGAGAAATTAATACAATCAAAAATTATAACGTTTTCAGTTTTCAGCAGATTTTCATCAAATTTGAGGTATAGCCATTTTATATTATGAAAATCGGACGACTATATCATATAGATGCCATACAAACGATCGTTAGATGTAGAGGAAAAATGCAAATCTGTGAATGTAAAACTAGATTTATAACATGTATAGCTGAATGAAATGAAAGCAGGTATTACTTCATTGTTTTTAACATAAATATATATAATTTATATTGTATGGATTCCTAGTCATCGAAGTTCTATCTGCAAGGGTATATAAACTTCGGCGTGCCGAAGTAAGCTTCCTTTCTTGTTTTAAATTGTGTAAGAATGTACATTTTTGTCTCAGTGTACGTGTTTACAGGACTTATTGCTTAAGTGGCGCCCAACTGCCTGCAGTGCTGCGCTCTCCTGCCTGCCCTTAGCTGAACTTTACTGACCCCAACTAAACGGCACCGAACTGGACTGCAGTATTCGCTGGGTCCTGGCAAAGGACGACCCTAGCATTGATGGCCCGTTGAGTTGCTCTCTCTCTATATGCTGTCCGGGACTGTCGGTGTCTGTTTTGCCAGTGGCTCTCGACTGCCTGTTGGCCTGGCTAACAACATTGCAGCGCCGTTTCGTGTGATTTTTGCACCGATTTGCGTTTAATTGAATTTCGCTCTTGACACTGGTTTGGCGTGCGGACTTGACTTGCCTCTCGTCTAATTGCGCTGGGGGAAAAAAGTCCAAGCGGGCGGGGAAAACATGTTGAGCCTACTTGGGAGGGTAACTAAGAAGGATACCCAGATACGGGGCATAAATCAACGCTCCCCTTCGGCTGGTCAATGAACCGCAGAGGCCACACAAAAAAAATAAAACAGATCCCGCCTTGGGTGTTTTGTGTCTGCTGCGGGTCTGGGTCCATAACCATTAATGATGTGGCCCACAGGCCCCAATACTCCCCTACTCTTCCCTCGAGTCCCCAAGTCTCGAGAACGTGGCCCATTCCGCTCGAACGGAATGTCTGGGCCTAGACTCCCGCTCTTGGGGCTTCGAATCCCTTTTTTCCGAAATGGAAAACAGTGGGAGAAGTGTGCGAAGCGGAAACAACTTAATGACGCGCGGCGCTAATGGTTCACTTAAGCACCCACATAAGTTTTCCGCGGTTTTCCCCAAAATACAGGAAAAAAGGCGAAACAGCAACCATTGCACAGTGGTTTTTTTAATTTAATTGGCAAAAAAATATATATTTCATTAACATTTTAGAATTTAAATGTTCACAGTGCGTATGAGTAATTTATTTTACAGAGTAGCTAAAACTTCTTATTTTTGTATGCTTCTTTAAGAAATCTTTAAGATTCACATTTTCTTTAGCTCTTTGACGTGCTAATATTTTATTTTCAATTTATTTTATTAAAATTTGATTATAAGGGTAAACACATGCAATGGCCACACTGCGTATGATTAATATTTTCTAAGGCGGTTCTTTAGGAACATGGTGAAGGACTGATTTCCGACCCTACAAATCTACAAATTCTTGATTAGAATTAAAAACTGAGTCTAGAGAGATCTAGCTATATCCGGTAGAAATTTAAAAAAAAAAATTTTTTTTTAATTCAACACAAATTATAATTGTAAAAATTCGCTAAAAAAAAGGTCGTTCTCTTGAATTTTAAATTGAGTACGCAGTTTAATTGACATTATAAAAACTAGCACAGGAAAGGTTTTCGAATTGAAATTACTACATTTTTGGCTAAGTTATGAGTTTTAGAAAATTTGATTTACAGACAAAATTGTCATATAAAATATAGAAAAAATCAAGGTTTAGTCAGAAGCTTGAAAAACTGTGAAGGAGCCATTTCCGACCCCATAAATCATATATATTATTGATCAGCATCAACAGCTGAATCGATCTAACTATTTCCGGTTGAAAAAAATTTGTAAAAGTTTTTTCGACTTTTTTATCGTTAAAATTATATGTTTAACATTTTCAAAAAATGAAAAAAATTGAATGTTTTAAAATTTTAATTTAAGTAGGCAGTTTTGTTGCAATAATAAAAACTAGCAAAGGAACGCATTCCGAATTGAAATTTATGCATTTTGGCTTAGTTATCAGTTTTTCAAATTGATAAATTTGTTTGAAAATTCCATAAATAAAGATTAAGGTAATGTGAATATTTTGAGCTTAGCTATGATGGGGTTTCTTCTTCGGTACTAGAATTCTATTGCAAAAGTATATAAACTTCCCGAAACTAGCTCTCTTTGTTTATATTAAACTTAACCACGGTGCCGGTGACGGTGCCGAGTTTCCTTCGATTTTTCCCCTAAGCATTTTCATGGCTGCTGCGAGGCTTGTCACCGAACTGGCAATGCCAAAAATCGGACGATGCCGCCCTCGCCTATTGTCGCCTCCGATTATTCTTTTTTCTTTTGCTTGGGTTGTGCCCCATGAAAACCCCAATGGAAGTACCCCTTACCCGCCGGAAATTCTTCCTCTGACTTCTCGTACTCCACTTACTGGCTGCACAGTAATAATTTCTCGCTAATGGTGTCCTAAATTGTCAAGAAATATGGAACCATTTGAATGTGCTCCCTCGGCTCGAGTCGAGTGTGTGGGTGTGTCCCGGACTTGTGCGTCACACCCACATATACCATATCCAACTTACATACATATATAAATACATATATATATATATATATTATTATATATCCCGCGCTGTTGCTGAGTGCGGCTTTTAGAACGTTTGTGTTTTCGACTTCCGGTTAGCCGGGCCTTCTAACAAATTCTTTGTTCTTCATTTCTTCATTTTGGTTTGGAAGGGAACAAAAAAAATATATATGAAAAAAAATAGGGGCCGCTGTGGTTTTGACAATCTAAAGTGCAATATGGTGGCAGTGTGGGTCAAGTGGGTGAGTGGGGCGCGGCAGTGGAGTGTTGAAGGGTACGCGAGCCACAACAAAGAAGGGTCAACGTAACGCAAAGTGTTACGTGGCATTACGTTACGCAAAGTGGAAGAGTGTGAATGGCTGGAGATCGCTAAAAGTAAAAATCCTTTTACTTTTTCTCCCACCTTTTAGATAATTCTGCAGCTAAAAAATATTAAAGAGTTCTAAATGAGTGTAATAATTCAAGAAAAGGCTATTAAATATATTTAACATAGTATAAAGGAGATTTATGACAAAATAAGCTTATAGAAGTTGTTGAAGTTTTAATATTCTGTCTATTTCTATTTTATACCCTTGATTAATTACGTTATGGCCAGGACTTATGAATTAGAAATTTTGGTATTCCTTTCATGAAAGTTTGACAACTATATATCATATATCTGACATGGAAACAATAAGGGAAATAATAGAAAACTAATGACCAGCGCAACTTCGCTGAACTGCCCAAAACAGTATGCTAAAATTGAGCAAGGTCCCAATTTACCGCAAAATAGGCAATGAAGAAGAATACATTAGAGTCGCCGAACGAGCAAATAATGGTGCATCTTTTAGGCTGATTTTATTAGGAAAAGGCGGAAGTGCCATTGCAAGAGTCCGAAAATATTACGTATACGCACTGTTGTAACTAACATAAAATTGAAGAAAATTTTAGAAAATTAATTAAATTATGCAATTAATTAAATTATGCAATCATAACTTTAAGTTCTTAAATATACATTTATAGAAATAATGATTTTGGCTTTATTTTTTGATGAATTTTCTTGTGGCATTAATCAATTGGTAGCATTAAATAATTAGTTTTAAAATTTTGTTGTGGAAAACCCTAATTGTCCAGACTTTCACGTGGCGTTACTTACACAAAAATCAGAGAATTAGAGCAAGATATAAAACCCTCTACGTGGCTAAAAACGTGCTAACCGTAATCCTGAATTGAATCATCAACGTCATGCTTACGTAAGGACACGCAATGCACTTGACGACACACGCACACAATGGGAAAAAAAACACAAACACACACACAACAGAGGGCTGAGAGCTGCGAAGGACAAAAAAGATGCTTAATCTCATCGCGTTTTGTCTCGGCGAAAATACCCACAACATGGCAGCAGCGCATTCATCTGCCGGGATAAAAATGAAATAAATACGAGTGCGGGCAGATCCTTGTCTGCGTGTGGAAGTGGGAGTCCTTAAGCATTTCTGCCAACACAGACGTAAAAAATCTGCTACTTATAAATTATGTTTATTTATTTATTATATTTTGAAGCAGCTGCGCTCAACTACGCACCGTTTTGTCCGAAACCGAAGCGAAAAGAAAACTTGTCGCTGTGCTGCTTGGCTGTCAACAATGCAGGCTGCTTCATGAGTCTGAATGAGATTCTGGGCGACAAAAAAGGACGAAATCGTGGGCGGTGGGTGGGGAAAGCTTGCAGGAAGCGTTCAACAAATGCCGTTGACAGCGGACGCACTCCAACAAACCCAAGGCGGCCCATTGAGTTCGTCGGAGGAGGAGGAAAAAAAGGAAAATCGGACGAAAAAAAACAAAGACGAGGGTCGGCACAAATTGGCAAAGCTGACAAAATTGGTCAGCAGCCAAGGCTGTGGACATTTGTTGCTAATAATGTTATCGATGTGGCAAATACACAAGGAATACAATTTACATAATGAGCGGCGACTCGCCGAATCGCTCTTCTTTCCTCCCTCGAGGACAGCTCAAGTGGATCAGGATAAGTCCAGTGACCAGGAACAGGGAATATCGTAACGTGAGCCACTTAAATCTGACGTAATTGTGACAGGGTTTGCGAGGGTAGGGTCACTGAATTGTCTTCCTGCTTTAAGTTGTATATTTAATAAATATGATAAATTGATTCTATTTTCTTTCTTTTTCTAAATTTAATTTTAGGTAAAATATTGTTACTTTATCTCGAATTTGGAATTTATAACAATTACCCAAAGTATAGGAACCGTTCTTAAAATATTGAAGATTGATACTTGTAATGAATAATAATACGGGCAATTTTATAAGACTAGATTGATATACCCTAGCTCGATTGAAACTGAGATAAGCTACACTTGGTTTGGTTTCCATTACTTGACATTTATCAAATACAAATTTCATGGATACTCTGATCAGAATTTTTCTTAATTTCCTGCAAACGTCAAATCCTAAGAGCAGAAGTTCGTTTCCATCTCTGTAGTTAATCTCCCAAGAAGCCGCATAAAGTAGCCTTTGCTCAATAAATCAAACTGCTGCTTTTCAAAATAGTTAATTTTTCTATCCCTCGATATGGCTGGCGATCAGTTAATTGTGTCTCCTTTAAATCTGAGCTTTCTGGCTCCCATCTCGCATTTCCAGAAGCGAATGATAACAATGATCAATGCCAGTGACGAGGACGTATTCTTCCGCATTCAAATCGATAATGATACCGATTACAGTGTGAGTCCAATGAAAGGCAAGGTGAAAGCTTTCGATAGCACCGAGTTGACTGTAACTCTAGAGCCAGTTATTAAGGATATTCCTGAATGCTTCCTGACTGTCAGGAGCATACCAGTAAAAAAGTTCGCTAATATAGAGGAGGAATGGAACTCAACGATTGTAAAAATGGGATTGAATTCAAAGATACCATTTCTACTTGAAGATGAACCCATAAAGATGTACCTGCAATCTAAGCCCAATTGTTCCAAAGATTGCTCGAAAAAATCGTCCTGGCTTACGGGCGTTTTATTTGCTTTAGGGATTCTTGGTCTTATTATGTCTGGTGAGCTTCTATAAATCAAAACTCCCAACTTCTCTATAATGCTCTATTTTCAGCCTATTTCAGTTTCATCTTGAAGTCTAAGCTCATCTTTTGAGTGCGAATCAATTGAATTATGAATTATGCAAATCGAAATCCGCGCCCCAAGCGGATTTCTACCAGCCCCCACTAACAGTTACCTAAATCAATCATACGCGCCGTTGGCCTCATTAGGCAAGCGTTTAGCTCAGCCGCCTCCTGTACGACCTCCTGATCCCCTCCTTTTTACACTGAGAGAGAGAGGGATTAAGTCAACTAATTAAATACATAAGAGTCTTAATAAAATATTAATAAATAATATTTACTTAAGGATCTTAGATATGCAAAGCAATATCCTTTATTTCTTTTGAGAATGCTTATGCTTAGTGGGATGAAAGTGTATATATAAATCAAGAGGTTTTTAATTTAAGATATTAATGCATAAAATATTTAATTTTTAGCTTGCTAAAATGATTTTTAAAATTAATTTAATATATTTTCAAGGCAATATTCACTCAGTGCATGAGCCATCAACTTGAGTTGCGGCTTTAAATCAACTTGTCTTGCTTATTAAGTAATCTGCCGCAGAACGTTTCAATGGCTGACGCTCATAAATTCCATGCACACACCACACACCACACACACCACACACACACGCACACACTTGAGTGTGCACCTGCACACACTTATGTATGTATATACGGGTATTAATAAACATATACACTTACAGGGAACAAGGTAACTATAGTTGAACGTGGGCTTACAGTTATTTATAAAGCAATTATTGCCACAATTAATTTGTGATTGCATTCTGCACGAAGCACTGCCATCGAGGCTTAGCACAATTGTTATCGTTGCTGCTGCTGCAGATTTAATTAGTTTACATGAGAGCACTGCCCCGGTGCTTTATGAAGCTAATTATCCTTTTGCGGCGCATCCTACCCCCGCAATTGAATTTTGCCCTTGCGATCAAACAATGCGGAATGGCTAATTTCAATTCGCCCCCAAGTCTCCACTTCGAGTCCAATTAATGACCTTTTAGACTGTGAGAGCTTCCTGTTTGTATCTCTCACAATTTGATTGTAAGGGAATCTGGGGATAATTCTTTAAATATTTATCGTGTTGTGATTTCATGAAATAAATCCAGGTTACCTAGTTACTTTGTAGAAAAAGTAATAATGATATTCATGAAGTATAGGAAATATTTAGGCTCAAGGAAATGTTAGTTCATTATCCATTTGCAAGGGTATTATAATATAATTTAGAAGCTTGTTACGATGTGAATTAGTCATTTCCGACCTTATAATTCATATATATTATTGATCAGAATAAACAGACAAATCAATCTAGGCATCTCCGGTGGAAATAAAAATTTTCAAACATTTTTAATTTTTTCAAAAAAAAGATAGGGCGTTAAAATTTAAAAAATCAAGAAAAATTAAATTTTTTAACATTTTAAAGTGGGCATGAAGTTTTGTTGCCATAATTAAAACTAGCAGAGGAAAGGTTTCCGATTTGAAATTACTGCATTTTTGGCTGAGTTATGAGTTTTGTAAAATTTGGTTTATTGACAAAATTGTCATATAAAATATAGAAAAAATATTATAAGTTTAGTCAGCAAACTGAAAAAATGTGAAGGAGTCATTTCCGACCCTATAAATCATATATATTCCAACGAAAATTACCATAGAGCAGCTTTCCGAATTAAATTTAGATTAGATTTAGATTTTTCCCAAAAACTGTCATATTTAAAAAACTTGAATATTTTATAATAAGGTATTATTGATTTCCGATTCGATTACAAACTGACGTTACGTACTACTGCTAAGCTGCTTAAGTTTTCTTAAATTTTTCATAATCTTTCGCAAATTATATCTTTACAGAACACTACTCAAATAAAGCCCGAGGAATGGAAATCCCTAAGCTGCTGAAATTGAGGAAAATGAAACAACTCAATTTGTTCAGATCGAGTAAAGGTAAGCCAACACTTTGAGTCACGAGTCAGATGAGCCCAAAACCTGTCACAGTCTCTGTTCCCATCGCAGTTGATTTCGTGTATTCGTCCTTTATCCGAATCACAATTTATGCGGCCACTAGGAAGTGAGTGGCTCGGACCTTGGAATTGTATTGAAAAATGAATGAAATTAGAATGTCTGATGGCATTTTGAATTGTATTTCCTCAGTCTCTTTTTCGTTTTTCGTTTGTACTTTTTTGCGAGACTCGTTTCTGGCCAATTTCGGGCAAACACCGCAAGACAGGCCACAAAATGTTTTCGTGTTTCGTTGGCACCCCCGCAAAACGCCAATGCCACCGCCACCCCCACATCCTTATTCCGGATGTGACGCCCTCCCCTAAGCCTTCGCTTTTGATTGCTGTTGCATGTCAAGATTTGTCAGGCAAATGAAAATATTTTGCGGAACGGGGTAGGACAGTCCTCTCTCTTTATTTTGCTTCATTCTTAGTCCTTTGGCCGATTCCGTTGCGCTGCAATGTCATAAAACATTATTGACATTTCAATTGTAAAAGCATTTTGTGTGTGTGTCACATTTTTTTCCCACTGCCATGGAGCAGAGACTTGGCTTAAATATTTTCTCCTCTATATTTTTTTTGGTGCTTTTCCCAGAGGAGATTCATTAAAGAGTAGAAGGGGCAAAAGTTCGTAATTTTCCGTGTTCTCCCTGCCGTTTGGTCACCTTTCGGTTCACGCATAAAACTTCCGGCAAACAAAGCCAGAAAAAGCGAAACAACAAATAAACAAAGTCAAGTTTTTGTCCATCGCTCCTTTCGTCTGCTGCTGGCTTGCGAAAAGTTTTACGAGCTTATCCCCGGGAAGTACGAGTAAAACGGGTCGAACGGCGAATGGCGAAGGGCTAATGGGGAGGGAAGCAGGACGCAGGACTCAGGACGAGCGACAAAACATGACGAAACACATACAGGACATGGCCCAATGATGCCAAATTGCAGTTGAGCTGAAGCACAAATAGGCACTGAAAAAAAAATTAAGACTATTTATATTATATATATTATTCCTCTACAAATTAGGAATTATATATTATATTATTAAGCCAGAAAGGAAGCTTTTTATGGCAGCAATATGATATAGTAGTCCGATTTCCTAAAACTACTCAAAATTAATATTTAATGGCTATATATCAAATTTGATGAAAATCTGTTGAAAACTGGAATAGTTATAATACTTTTTCTTGAAATGTTCCGATCGTTCGTATGGAAGCTATATATATGTATATATATATTTCACCGATTCGTCATGCTCCGACTTATATACTAGTAAAATTATATAGAAGAATAGCTCCATAGTTTCATTCAAAAAGCTTAAATTTGTTAAAAACAAATCTCGCACATCTGTGCATATGATTCCCAACTAGTTCTAACATCCCCGGAACGAAGTGACTTCTGCCGGCCATGTCTCAGAAATGTGTTGTGTTACAAAAGTTGCAAGTCATTGTTTATTAGTGTTCAAAGTTAGTAACTGATCATACATACTTAATGGTGATAGATACTTACTGATCGCAGTTATTTAGTATTCAGAGTTACTTACTGATCAGAGTTACTTAATGCTCATTGATACTTACTAATCATAGGTACTTACTGATCATAGTTAATTACTGGTCATAGATACACTGTTTCTTAGTGTTCAAAGTTGGCTACTGATCATACATACTTAATGGTCATAGATACTTACTCATCATAATTAATTACATTAGATACATAGATACTAACTGTTCAGAGTTACTAATTGTTTATAGTTACTTATGATTTTAAGATTTATATAATTTTAAGATGTATATTTTTATCAGTGCAAAGGTTTTGGATTAAGACAAGCGTCAGCCATGATAGAAACTCAACCCGACATCTGCTCCGGGTTTCAGCTTGACCTCAAGCTCCTCCCTGTCTCTCCCTCTTGCTACTTCAGAGTTCACGGATCCCGTCCAGGTGAGGCGGAAAAAGTTATAAGGTGCCAAAGGCCGTAAAAGATGCAATCAAAATCAAACTGATTTGTCTCCGGGGAGCGATGCCAACTTTTATATTTACGAGCGGGCACCGGCACCAAACTCTCGACTGCCCTGAAGTCGCGGCGAGACGAAGATGGAATACACTCCAAGTTGATTAATGCACTGCCGGGATATATATATATATGAATCTCTGAACAGATTGGCCACTTGAGAAGGCGAGAAGGTTATATCAGGGAAAAATTTTAAAGGGATATCTTAATATTAAATTAAATTTAAATAGGTAATTATTAATTGAAAAACATGCTATTAGATTGCATTTTCTTAGGGAATAAACCCAATATCTGTTAAAGAAATTTCTAACTTTAGACATTTATTATACAAGTTCCAAAACATCGTTGGTATTCTAGTAACCATGCCCTTCTGTGAGGCCATAAAAAGCGGTTTTTCCTATTTCGTGGAAACTGCATTTAAATTGCACTAACCCTGGCACTGAAAATGAGCATGGGTCGTGGTCCTGAGACTGGGACAGGAAAGATGTCCCGGCAGCTGGACGCTTTAATTAGACAGTCGCACTTGTGTGAACTTCTGGCCAAAATTGCCGGGGAATCCAAATTCGAGGAAATGGAACCTGGGGGAAGCTGTAACCGAAACTGGAGCTGAATTCCAAGTTCCCAGAACGCGGGACCAAGGACCGACACTGGGGCTTCCTCCCTGCAATGGCCGCCGGTCGCGAGTCATGAAATTTATGCGTTAAAATTGCATAATTTGGCCGCGCAGACGCAGCAGACGCGGAAAAACTTTGCACATAAATTCTGTGAGTCAAGGTAACGGCGCAAACTTTTCGACTGCCCCTCTCTGTGAATCCCCGGGGCCCTATCAAATTAAACACTTTTTGCTGCTGGGGCGTCGTCTACTTATCGGAAGGAGTCGGAGGGTTGCAAAACCCCCCCTGAGATGCATAGATATAGTATATATATCTACATATAGAGTAACTGGTCGGATACACGTGCTCAGATGGAAGATGCACAATTCAAAGCACACACACACGATTCGATTTTAATTTCCTGTTTCGGCTTGTTTCCCCCCAAAAAGCCGACTCGAACTTCTCCAATCGTCGTTGGTTGCCATTTCATTGCCTCTCTTTGAATTTGCAAAATATCTATGAGTGGAAAAACTTCTATACCTGGTATATGTTAAAAACAAGAGTATGTAAGAGTTTGAATTAGTTGGGAATATACAAGCCAAGCTTTTGTTAATCTTTAATCAGCGTACTATTTAGAATAAGTATTTAACACTGCACAAGAG